AAAGAGGGAAGGGGAGAGGAAGGAAGATGATGAAAAAAAGGAAGGAAAGAAGGAAGGAAGTGGGAGGAAGATGATGAAAAGACAGAAGGAAGGAGATGATGAAAAGGAAGAAGGAAGGAAGGAAGAGAATTGAGAAGGAAGGAGGGAAGTGGGAGGGAGGAAGGAGATGAAAAGAAGGAAGGAAAATAAATTGAAAAGGAAGGGAGGGAGGGGAAGGAAGGAGGGAGGGAGGGAGGGAAGGAAGGAGGAAGAAAGGAAGATGGAAGGAAGGAAAGAAAGAAGGGAAATGGGAGGGAGGGAGATGATGAAAAGAAAGAAAGAAGGAAAGTGAGAAGGAAAGAGGGAAGGGGAGAGGAGAGGAAGAAAGGAAGATGATGAAAAGACAGAATGAAGGAGATGATGAAAAGGAAGAAGGAAGGAAAAGAACTGAGAAGGAGGGAAGTGGGAGGGAGGGAGATGAAAAGAAGGAAAATAAATTGAGAAGAGAGGGAGGGAGAGGAAGGAAGGAGGGAGGGAGGGAGCGAGGGAGGGAGGAAGAAAGGAAGATTGAAGGAAGATGGATGGAAGGAATGAAAGAAAGGAGGGAAGTGGGAGGGAGGAGATGATGAAAAGAAAATATAGAAGGAAGGAAAAGAAATTGAGAGGAAGGAAGGAAAGAAGAAAAGAGGTGAGAAATAAGGAAGGGGAGAGGGAGGGAGGAAAGCAGGAAGGAAGATGAAAAGGAAGGAAGGAAAGAAGCTACTAAAGTTCTTAACTTGTGACCAATGTCTGGACTTCTTTGGTAACCCCCTCCCCCCTCCCACCTGGGACAGGTGGAAAGGCTCCCAGGTCCATTCCCGCCGAGGGTCCTTTCTCCCACCCCCTCCCCGCTTACCCTGTGCTCCGCCAAGAACTCCGGGCTGAGCGTCCAGGGGGCGTTCCTCACCACCTCATCCACGTAGCGGCAGTGCTGCACGGCGTCGTAGCGCTCGGCGTCGTTCATGACCGTGAAGCCCTTTAAGTTGTGCGTCAGTTCGTCGCTGCAGACTGCAAGATTCGGGCCTTTCTTGAAACCCTTCCTTCCCCACTCAGATCCTTCCAAGATTCCCACCATCATCCCCAATGCCTTAAGCCTTCCCACCCGAGGTCTCCTTCCCTTGTCTCCTTGTTGGCGAGCAGCCAGGTGTTCCTCATCTGGGGCTCCTTCCCAGGTGCCCAAATCCGCCTCGGTGCCTCTCTTACCTCCGACAATGAGGTAGGTGTTGGGGAAGAGGCTCTTGGCCTGCATGAGCGCCCGAGCGTGTCCGGAGTGGAAGAGGTCAAAAATCCCATCGGCGTAAACCCTGACGGGCCTGTCCACTAAAAACAAGAGAAACAAGATAACAAGAAGGCACAATTATTTATTGGAAGTGGAACTAGAAGAAGAAATAGTGAAGGGACCAATGATCGTCTCGGCAAAAAAAATGTAGGTCATAATATAAAATTAGAGGACTGGGAAAAAAATGTGGACCAATAACTGTAAATTGACATTGTCAACATCACTTAAAGAAAATCAGTACAAAATGTTTTATAGAGCCCCAGCAAGACTGGCTAAAATATATCTGAATATAATATCAGAATGTTGGAAGTCAGCAGTGGGATTCAAACTTTTTTACTACTGGTTCTGTGGGCGTGGCTTGGTGGGCGTGTCAGGGGAAGGATCCTGTAAAATCTCCAGTCAGAGGTGGTATTATTCCAGTTCTCCAAACTACTCAAAATGTCCGCTACCGGTTCTACTGAACTGGTCAGAACCTGCTGAATATCCACCTCTGTCGGAAGTGCAAACATAAAGAAGGAACATTTTTCCATAGGTGGTGGCAATGCCCAGAAGTTAAAAAAAATATCGGATGAGGATACAAAGATGGCTATTAGAAATTACAGAATACCAATTAGAACTTAAAGCGGAAATATTTTTTATTTGGAATAATTAAGGGAAAAATTAGCAAGTCTATCCGATACATCGCTATGCATATTATAACGGCGGTGAGGACAGCTTTCGCACCGGGATGGAAAAAAGATCCAAAGTGAATCTGATACAAAAAAATAATGGACTGTGCGGAAATGGATAAATTCACAGCGGAATTAAAAGGCAAGGATGAATCGGTTTGGGATAGATCAGGGGGTCTCAAACACAATTTACCTGGGGGGCCGCTGGAGGCAGAGTCTGGGTGAGGCTGGGCCGCATAATATTATACTTTATATTTATATTATACACTAATATTATACTTTCATATCACGGTGGGGGCCACAGGATATCGTCCTGAGGGCCGCAATTGGCCCATGGGCCGCGAGAACGAGACCTCTGGGATAGATGGTACCAAGGGGTAGGATATAGAAATAAGAATTGATGTGTATAGGTATAAAAGGAAATATATGTATTGCTAACGACACAATGGGTCTTTCTCTGAATGCCCAGCCGGACTGTGCTCTTCCCTAGTTTCCTCCACAGCCACTGGAGCCACACTCCTACTCCCTGTCAGCTGTTTGGCCTCCAAGTCAGATTCCGACAGGGGCACGACAGTAACTTTGAAAGGCCACTCAGTGAATTGTTGTAGGACGAGGGCACCTTCAGCCTTTCTCTCCTACGATTCCCTAAGCGTAGGAGAGAGCTAGCTGTCAGGAAGCGGCCTGGACCGTTTGCAAAAGCATCCCCAAGGGCCCCTCTGAACTTACTCACACCGCAAGTCAGCCAGAAATATTTTTTGGTCGGGAGTGAAACTTATAGTCTGGAAGTGTGAGTGACAGATACCAGGGAAGGATGCCGCTTGGATGCAGTCACTGCCAGCTTTTGGCCCTTGGGGGAAAAAAAAAAAAAGCCCCAAGCAGAACCTAAATAACAGGCATATATATCACACGAGGTGTAACAGGCATACAAAAGAAGAGAATATTTGTGGCTGTGGGGCTCTCTGAGCTGGGGGACTTTTTTGCAGGTATTTCATGGCCCAAGGAGGGAACATCACCAGTGCTAGAAGGGAGTGAGGAGGAGGAGGAGGAGGAGGAGGAGGAGAAGGAAGAAGAGGAGGAAGAGGAGGAGGAGAAGGACTGTGAGGTCCTTGGGTCTCTGAATTTGGTTTTCATGCAAATGTTTCATGACCCAACTAGGGAACATCATCAGTGCTAGAAGGGAGTGAGGAGGAGGAGGAGGAGGAGGAGGAGGAG